TTTTTTGGTACTGGGGATCAAAGTCGGGTCCTTGAGCTTGCCCGAGGCAGGCACCAGAACCACTGAGCTAAATCCCCCGCCCAGAGTATTAAGTATATTGTTGTATAAGGGATCTACTGGCCTTTTCACCTTACTGAAACTCTATACCCATTCAACAGCTTACATTTTCCCATCTCCCAACAAGTATTCTACTCGTTCCTGTAAACTTGATTACTTTGGATAACTTATATAAGTGGAATGTAAAAGTTACTTTTATTTGTTTGAATGGTCTTACTATGTGGTTCAGGCTGATCTTGAACTCACTTTGTACCCTAGGCTGGTTTCAAACTTGCAGCGATCCTCCTGCTTCAGCTTCCCAAGTGCTGGGATTACAGGCATGTCCAGTTTAAGGTTACTTTTAAAGGCTGTCAAACGTTCCATTACACGAATATACCATACTTCATTCAGCAATTATCTTATGGGTGGCTATGATTATAATTATAGTGCTGCAGGAATATCCTTGAACATAAATCTTTTACAATATTTGGATTATTTTCTCCAAGTGATATAGAAAAATTACTTTCCAGGAGCATTTTGAGCTCTCAGCACTCCTAAGAGCTCTGAGCACTGCTGCTTCATGGTATCTCAGGCCTGTAATCCGAGCACTTTGGGAGGTTGTGGCAGGAGAATCTTGAGTTTAAAGCTAGCCTGGACTACATAGTGAGAATCTGTCTCTAAAAACAACAACAACAGAAGTCACTGTAGTTACGGAAGAGTCAGATTCTCATCAGGCCTCAGCTCCAAATTCTCTAATATCTCCCCTTTATTTCTTTTTTCGGTACCGGGGCTCAAACTCAGTACCTCGCACTTGGAAGGCAGGCTTGGTGCCACTCAGCCAAATGCCTGGCCCTACTATCCTTTACTTCTGAAAATCCTTTGTTCGGCATTCAAGGCCCTTAAAGATTCCTGGCTACAACCTGACTCGCTCTTTCTGCTTCGCATCTTTAAATTACTTATTTTCCTGAATCCGTGTTCTTCCATCTCTAGGCAACTGCACAAGCCATCTGCTTGCCTGCCAGTAAACCCTCTCATCCTTCAGATTTCTACCCCGGAAATCTTCCTTGTGTCCCCAGGCCTATTATGGCAGCTCTCCAGCGTTTCTCCTACAGTCTACCTTCCTCGTAACAATTAGTTTGTACAGTGATGTGTAATTATTTACGTATCTGTTTGCCCAACAAGCTTTAAATTCCCTGATGGGCTGGCACTGCTTTATATCCCCAGCAGGCTTGCCAAATATAGTTAAATAAACAGCAAATGAGTATTTGTTACATGCGTGAATTTAAAAAGAAATTTTAAATTCAAATTACACCCTTAAAATCCCTCACTTTGGGTAGTAACTCCTCCTACCACCTTTTCCCCCAGAACTCCACGCCCCCGGGCCCACTTCCGAAGTAAGTGAAGTTCCTAGCTGTGCTAGCAGAGGACCAGGCCCTGGATTATTCCGACTGGATTGTTCTTTCTTGATAACACAGGTTGCCAGTTGGCAGGAGCCCTAAACTTTGATATAAATTAGCAAATCCTGACTGGCAACAATTTAAAACCAGCAGGACAAGTTACTAAGAAGTTGCAAAGGTAAAATGCGGAGAAGGTGGCAGGAACACCCATCAGAAAGGTTCAGGTTAAAATCCATCTTCGGCAGAGAAAACTTCGAACGATTTCTACTAAATTTCACCAATCCCTTAATCTGCTTATTAATAACTCAAAACTAGAAAGAAAACGAAACAGCACCCAAAACCGCCTCTGTGCCCAGTGCCCAGACACCTCCTTTGTGTAGGAGCCCCCAGCTTCAGAAGCCCTGTAATCCGAGATGACTCCAGCCGTGAAAGCATTCCCTGCTGCCCTCACCCTTCAGGCATCTCGGTCGGAGGCGGAAGAACAATCCTCCCACGCATGACTCACACCGCGTTCTTCCTAACACCCTGGGCGTCATTCCTCAGAACGTTAGTCCCCGAGTTTAAAACGCGGAAGTACCCCTGGGGTCATTCATTCATTTAATTGGTTTCGTTTGGAGACAGGGTCTCTCAAGCAGTTGAGGCTCCCCTTTGAACGCCCTAAGTAGCCCAGGCTGGCCTCGAACCCGCGGCGATTCTCCTGCCTCAGCCTCCCAAGTGCTGGGATTGGAGGCAAGGGCCACCACGCCCGGCTTTCACGGCGACTCTCTCTGTACACCGGGTCCATCGCAGAAGAGAAGAGAATGACCAGAGAGGAGGAAAGGCCCCACCGTCCCCAGGGGGCGCAGCGCGGGTCGCGGCCGGACGCTACCTGGGGGCGAGCGAGTGAGGTTCCGCCCCTGCGCGCTGACCGCCTGCAGGTAGAAGTAGCGGACGGGCA